GGGTGATGGGGGGACAATAGCGATAATGGTAAGGTGTGGTAACGGTGGTTATTAGAGATAGTAGTGGTGAGGTGGTGGTGGGACGGTGCTGGTAGTGACAGTAATGATGGTGGGGTGGTGGTGGTAGTGATTATGGTGGTGGTGGGGTAATGGAAGTGGTGATGGTGGTGGTAAGGAGATGGCAGCGACAGCGGTGGTGGTGGTGGTGGGGTGATGGTGGTGGAGCGGTGAGGGTGGGGGTGGTAGAAGTAGTGGTGGAGTGGTTTTAAACACTTTTTTTTTAAAAGTATTTATGAAAAATAATTCTTAAAAAGTCACTCTAAACACACATTTAAGAGCCTATTTTTTTATTAAATTANTTCTTAAAAAGTCACTCTAAACACACATTTAAGAGCCTATTTTTTTATTAAATTAAAGTTATTAATATTAACCGTTAAATTAACTTTAAAATAAAATTTAAAACGATCTCAACTATAAATAGTAAAAATCGTTTTATTTATTTTTTGATATCTTAATTGTATTATATTTTATCATATATATATATATATATATATATAAAATAGAGGGGTGTTTCAAAGAAGCAAGTTAGTTATTAACACGAGCGAGGTCAACGATTGGCCTGTTGTCTAATGGTCACTGCCTCCTTAAGATCTTGTTTGGATGACAATAATATTGATTGAAAATGGGATTGTCATTTCTAAAATATAAAGTTTGGAGAGTTATTTATTCAGTAATCTAATTTGGAAATAAGTTTACTATTGTAATTCAATTCCCAATAATGATAGGTATTTTAAACCCATGTCCAATTGTAATAATGTCATCCTTATATTGATTGGGTATTCTCACTGTTGGCCCATGTACTAGGTCATTGTCTAGGGCACCAAATGTAATTGAAATTTTGGGGTCCCAAAATAAACTTGTGTACAATGTTGTTTGACTTAATTTAATAACTTAATGCATTTTGGATGTTTATAAAAAATATTTAGGACCCTAGAGTTCGAACTGATTTTTTTTCCTTGCCCCATGTTTATGGTATACAAAAAATATGTATTATCACTTCATAAAATATTTTCTATCTTATTATCAAAATACCTAATAAAATATTCATCTTGTTAGCTAATCTAAATTTATATTCTCTTTCTCTTTATCTTCGATAGATATCTTGTTTAATTACATTTGGTTAATAAATTGACTTTTATTAATTGAATTTTAATGTATAAGATTTTAAAATTTTAATTAATATTTATGAATCTTAAAAAAAAAAATTTAAATAAACATATTTATTTTTAACAATTATTTATACTCCTTAAAAAATTATTAATGGGGCCAAATTAAAAATTTTCACCTAGAACCCCTCTATATGTTTATCTCAATTAAAATTATCCTCATCCAAACGTACCCTTATTATTTAATTTTATATTTGCATGTTCGAACTAATGGTCATCTCGATCTATTGAACGAAAAACGCCATTAACATTAATGAAATCTGTATAATCATTCTCAAAATGACCCAAAAAACCTAATTTGACTATCAGACATCAGGCCAAAAAAGCCGAGCCTGGAGGCTCGGATGGGCTTAATTATCGTAAAACGGACCAATAGCAGTTAAAAAGACTACTATCACAATCCGACATTAAATACTGAAGTCGGCGCAAATTCAAAGAGCTAACGTTTTCTGCAATTTCCAAAACGGGAAGATAAACCCAATTGGGTTAGAAGTTCTGGTGGCAGTAATGGAAGCTCACTCTCACTGCAACTCTATCCAACTTATACGCGGTTTCCTAGTTCAAAACCCAGTTTGTAAAGACTCCTCCTCTATATATATTATACCCAGTGCGCCGAAATCTAGGCATAAATTGAACCCCAATTCGTCTGCTTAGGTATTACTCATCATCTGTTCTTGACTTCATGTATTGATCTCAGAATTATTTGAGAGTTTGGTTGGTTTTCATGTGGGTTTTTGATTACATTGATTGGAGTCTTGTTTAAATATGGAGAATATTAGTAACAGCAACAAGCAACACAGTGTCCGACGGGAGCTGAGTACTGGGAAAATAAAAGTTCGAGATCTTTGATTTGGGCTGCCATAAAATTGCTCAGGGAGTCCGGAATTTGTTTTTTTTTTTGGGGGTATACAAAGTCGATTTGAAGTGGGTATTTTTTTTTTTTCTTGAATTCATAAATTGATTTCAGTACTATTTGATCGTTTATTTTTTATATGGGTTTTACGTTATATGGATTGGAAGCTTGTTAGGATATACAAATTTTCCGACTGGTATTGGGTACTAGGATAATAAAAGTTCAAGACACTTTGATTTGAGAGATGAGGAAGACGGCAAAACGTAAGTTCAATTATGCTTCAACCCTTTGCTGTTTTCTATATATTGTAGGGTCTAATGATGCCACTTGAAAGTAGGAGTGTGGATGATGAAGTGTTGATCACGAGAGTAGTAGTAGTAGTTTTGGTTTCTATAGTACTGCATATGTATTAACATGTTGTCGTGTTGGTCCAGGTTGTAGTAGCCAAAGGAGTGTTGGTGATGATTGCGACCACGATGCTGAAACTTCGAGTTCAAAAGGTGGAACAAAGACAATGGATTGTTTTCTAGAGGAATTATTTCAGAAAAGGTTTCTTCTGTCTTGATCAAATCAGTTAGACTTTAATGGATTATTCTGTCTTTTTCTTTTTGAATTTTTTGTGGAGATTGGTTTTAGCTGAGTTTTAATGTGTTTTCCAGGGGATCAAAAAGGGAGAGCGCGCTAGCTTTCATTATCGAGGGATTTACCATGAAATACCAACGGCTGTTTGCTCAACAAAAGTAATCAGCTCTTTTCTAATTTTAAATGGCCTTGCATCTCATGTTTCTTATAATATACTTCCAGAGTTTAGCCAATTATAGTTCTTTTGTGATGAACTTTTGTGCAATTTAATTGCTGCGTATGATGAAACAATAACATCAAAAACAATATGAATTGCCATTATTGAGTATCTCTCTATTGAATTTTCATCGACACATCCTAGTGCTTGGAGTATGAGTTTTCACTTTTCACTGATCCATCACTATGGCATTCTGGGATTTGTTAAATACTAGCAGCAGCATTATGTGCATCCAAACTATATGATGCCTTTGGATCTATAGTTATCATGGAAAATTCTACTTTTTACGTGGGTGGAAAAGGGGAAATACAGGGTTTAGAAATCCGGAAGTGAGCCTAGATAAAGAGAAGGATTGGTTGATGTCCTACTGCATTTGTATTATGAGAGTGTGAACTTGCCAAAGATACAACTCCATTTTCTCCTATAAAATATATTCTACTCTCCAACATTATCACGAAGGACTACTTTGACATCCAACTTGACCACAAACAACAAAGGGGACAATAAAATCCAAATTCAAACGCAATTTAGTCAACATATACTAGGCAAAGAACCATGCTAGTAAATGGGTAGTAAGATTTCTATTCCAAGGCGATTTCAAAGTCACTTCTTGGTCTTCCAGCCAGTCCACATTGGCTTCCATGAGTATTACATTGCTGGCTTTTTAGAACAAAATCAACCTCTTTGAGAATAGTTTCTCTTATTATCGCATTTGTCTGTCTGCTTATGAGTGATACTAACATCAGAAAATGCCTTGCCATCTCAAATATTTTCTGTTCTCCCTTTTCTGACATTTGTGAATGTAGGTAGGTTTGTAGCTAAACTCATCCATAAATGAAGCATTTTTCATCTCCATGGAACATGAATACAGTGATCTATTAACCCATTTTCATGTTGTGCTTATTTTTTGCAGTTTTGCTACTTTACTTTACCGATGCCTAAATTCATTTAAAAAGGGATCTTCCAAGGAGATTGGCCTAGCCTGTCATGCCCTTGGTTAGTTTTTCTTTTTAGTTCTTGAATGTCTCATTTTTATCTTACTTCAATATGCAGTTTAGAACAGCTAAAGTTACTCGCTTCCATCTGCAGGCTTGTTGGCAATAACCATTGGCTGTGGGGCAAATGCTCATGAACTATACAGAGAGGCAATTGATCCGCTCTCAAAAGCTCTCAAATCTGCTCCCGAAACATTCATACCCTCTGTATGTATAATATGATTCTGTAGTTTTCTTCTCGTGCAATATGTATGTTGTTGGTTTTATGTGTGATAGAAAATATCAACTTAATGTCCTAAATTGTGATTTTTTGTGGTAGATCTTGGAATGTTTGGCTATTGTCACCTTTATTGGTCGAAGTAATGTCGAGGAGACTGAAAAAGCTATGCAAATTATTTGGCGCTTCATTCATTTACAATCGGGCTTCAATGTACGTGTGCCCATGTCTCTTTGTCTACAATTTGTCTTATCTTGAAACTGATGTGCCATAGCTTGCCTGATCTTTTAACCACTGTTTCATATTTTTTCTAATTTTGTGTTACTTCTGCATAGCGTACATCCATTTTTAGGTGTAGGGGCTGACTTTATGCTATTCAGTAATGTACTTGAGCAGGATTACATGCCCAAGGTCCAAAGGATGCATGGACCTCTGAAACCAGTCTAAGTAACTTCATATTGAGCAGAATGTGCAAAATTTATCTGAGTTTTTATCAAAATTTACCTTCGCAGAAAAACATTTCTGCAACCACCTGTGGTGAGGATCAGAATATATCCTGATAGACCACTGGTTGTGGAGTGGTATACTGGTATCCCACTCCCTCCCTGTCCCAAATACCATGTGAGTTGTCTCTTCCCACAACCTCGATAGGACCACTCTAGGTTCAGGAAGCAACACCATTTTAACCTGAATCTCTTACTACTATTTAAGAGCACAAGGTTCTAAATTAATCAGCTAAAGAACACGTCTGCTGTCAAATAACTCCAATACCACCGTAGAGAAGCCTGCTTTTGGGACATTGAGAAAGTAGAGAGTTTCATTCTTATTTAGTTGCATGTGCTGTGGTGTTCCATTTTCTCTCTTTCAGATGTTGTCTCTTTATTATTTGTATTCTCTCACATTTACCATAAATCTTGATTGCTACAAGTATATTCTGCTAGTTTCCTCAATTGTCATTCTCATTGTTTTATTTTGTTTCAGTGGCCCAGTCGATAAAATTCATGAAATTTTTTTTAAAGCTCTAACCCGTATGTGTTACTACTTATAAAGTAGGGTTGAACCATTTGCTTGCCAGCTTCTCTCGACCCTGATCCTAGCCCATGCTTGAATCATGTGGTTCAGCTTTTGAAAACTTCTGGTTTAGCTTGTGCCTCAATTTTGAACCAGCTTAAAAAGGTTCCATCATGACTCATACTCAGACAAGCACAGTATCTCTAGTTTTAATGCCCGCTAGAATCACAGTAGTACTGATGAAGCCATCTTGGGACTAGGGGCTAGCCCTCCCCAAGTTTCCAGGTTTCAGATTCCCTGAGAATATTGATTTTGTCAATATAGTCTTCCTGAAGCCTGTGCGATATGTTGTTTACCTCTTGATTTAGCCCACATTTTTGAATTCTTGACTTTAGCCATTGAATGACGGCCTGCGATATGGCAACTTGCATTAGTATAGAGCTTAAAGTTTACCATATCTACAGGTATATTGTGAGTAGTGGGAACTCATTACAATTTAGGATAAGTATGGAATTTAAACCGCTAAGAATTCTCTAATCCCAGAAAAGTCATTGTTATAGTTTCTATTTAGTAGTTTTTAGCCATGAACTGGATGATTGACTTGATTTGTGTTCTACACTCTTATGGGTAGCTAAAATCATGTATTTTTTCCTTTCAGGGGGTTGCAAGAAAACATTCAGCAGTTGTTCTAACTTCTGCAATATCTGCTTGGTCGTTTCTTCTCACAAGCATGGATAGTTGGAACCTTAGTTACAATCACTGGCAAGGGTAAAGTAGACCATTATGAATATTCGTCAAGCATACAATATGGATGAAACTCTTCTTTTTGTGATTGTTAAATAACATGGGAGCCTTCAAATTGCAACTATTATAAGCCATGAATAACATTAGACCATTCAATTAATAGTAGCTATGCATATAAGCCATCAATCAACTAACTTATCTCACTTGGATATNCATTCAATTAATAGTAGCTATGCATATAAGCCATCAATCAACTAACTTATCTCACTTGGATATAACATGTGCATTTTTCCCACTGGTGCAGGGCAATTGATTTCTTTTTGAATATACTGGAGACGGATGGTGGTTCTGTCCTTGCTGCAGCTAGTGAATCATTAGCTCTAATCTTTGAAGTGGAAAGCTTTGATAAGTTTGTTTGCGACACAAAAGTTACCAGTGATAGTTCAATTTGCAAAGAGGGAAATTGCCTAAAGGGGTTTTCGTCTACACAAGAATTGAAGGAAGCAATAATTGGTCAAGTAAGGAGCCTTTCACAACAAGCTGAAGGTTGTAGTTCAGCCAGTAAAGTTGTGAACAATGATTGCAAATATAGTTGGGATATTGTGAAAGTGTTGGAGGAAGATTGTTTTCCTGAAACATCAGTGAAGATTGGTCACCAAATTTTAAGACTTTGCACATGGTCTCAATTGTTACAGGTATTTTTTCTTTGTGACAATCACTCTTTCTGGCTTTGGTCTTATGCAATAATTTCACACATTTAATTATATTTCTATTTATAGATGAACTATCTAAAGAATTTTCTTGGAGGTGGATTTCTCAAACACATGCTGGTTAGTTTTGTCCTCCTTAGCAGTGCTCTACCTAGCCTTGTGATATGGTTTTATTTTTCAGTTGAAATAACATTGCTGATTGTTTGAACAGGAAAATGAACAACTTCATGATGTCTTTGATTTCACACCAAAACCACTGTCAAGCAATGAGCCGTATGTATGTGAAAGAGAAGAGGTTGGTTTGACATTCATTTTTACTGGTTGCCTCTGAGCTATGAGCAACAAGCTTTTTGTTAAACAGTTGTTCCCTAATGGTTGATTATGTCTGACCTGTGTTTGGAAATATAGGTCAGTGTTCATTATTTTGTACCTCAAGTCAGAAAAAAAGACAACAAAGATTGCTGTCAGGTACTTTTCCAAGCTCGTTTGTGTTTGTAATAGGTTTTTAGTCCTTTTTCTTGTATTTTTCTGCTTAAATAGAAGGGATTGTACAGTTTGATACTATGACTCGTGTCATCTTTTAAGAAATAAGACTAGATCTTAGTCGTAGGTTTATTAATTTTTTATATTAGACTTTAATTTGAGCGTATAACGCATGATCGAAATGAATAGCGAAGACAGACTCACATAACAGATCCCAAATGATTGGGACATAAGACTTGATTTATTAATTTTTTATATCTGACTTCAATTTGAGCGTATAGCACATGGTCGAAATGAATGACGAAGACGGATTCACATAGCTGACCCCAAATAATTGGGACATAACGCTTGACTTGGTTTGATTTATTTGACTTCAATTGTTGTTATTCTTGAGGGGGCCATGAAACCATCATAGTGCCTCCCGTTGATGGATTAGATTAGACACACTGATTTTGGTGTATATGGTGGCAGATTGGACTTTTTTCATAAGCAAGTTGGGCTCCATTTATTTTGATAATGCACCCCACAAAATTGCAATTCATTTTGGTCTTGGTTGCATAAAGTCTATTATGTTCTGCAACTGCAGAGACTTCACAAGTCACGCAATTCTGCCGCGAGCAAGGCAAGGACTCAACAGTTAAATAAGCAACGTACTATCAGAGGTATCTTCTTTTTCAATGCTTCTCAAGTCATGGTCTGACTTAAACCGCATTAAAAATTCCCTCGGTATTCTTTCACACCACGTGAATTGTAGTGATTTAAGAAGTGCCATGTCCTGGTCTTAGCAACTCGCTGTCGCTTCTTTGAAAGGAACTTATGTCCAGTATTTTTGGGAATAAAACTGTCTTACCTTAATTATCTTCTCGATGTTTGCCTACATTGCAAATTTCTGTTCGAAATGCCATTTTGAGAGTTGTTTAATTAACAGCCATAGTACTTTTTTTTCCCTTTAGTGGGTGATGAATCATGAAAGTAAGAACACTGTAGTTAGGCATGTTCATTCAACTGAAACATTTAACCTGAAAATCCAATTCCGAAATTCTCCATGACACCATCTTCGCCTGCCTCCTCATTTGTTAGACGTTACCCAATCACATTTGCTTTATATTAAATAACTTGAGCATGACAGTGAGACCTCTTGAAAATTGCTAATTGACCCATACAGTTAGAGTTTATTCCTTTTTGAAGTCTCTTACAGGCAAGACAAAAAATTGTTCACTTCATTAATGTTGAACTTTTCATGCATTTATGTGCAGCTGAGGAGCTTCGGATATCTTTTGATTGATGCTGGAAGTGAAGTGGGCATGGCCGAACACTTTGGTAGTAGTGCAGCAAGCAATCAAGACTTATAGAAAATTTTGTTTATTGTTTCTCTGATTTAATTTGTATCGATAGTTGTTTATATCGTACGATACGCGATACGATACGTTTTGAAGCATACGATACATATTGTTTAATTATATTGGTTTGTGTCGTATCGTGTGATACATGATGTGATATGCCTGACACAAGATAATACGTACAAGTTTTCCGATAGGAGGCGAAATAGATAAAAATATTTCTTTGAATTTTAACTAGAAAACGACGTATTTTCACTTAAAGTCTTCTTTTTTATTCCTTCTATCGCGGGAGCAAATACTTTGTTTAAATCCACTTCTGAAAAAACATTTGTGAATGTTATACCAGCTGTTAATAGAATGTACTTGGGTTTTGGACAAGACATTATCAATTTTGAAATTTTCATTGTTCCGGACTCTCTAATCAGGACAAACCTAGTGAACATTGTGATGCTTGTTTGGGTTTGTTTCTCTGTGAATGTAAAAAATAGAGGTCGGAGGTAACTAGCGAATTCAGAATGAGAGCATGTGTATTCTGTCATTTTTTTTAATATTTTTATTTATTTTTGGGTTAATTGCACTGGAGGCCCTTAAGGTATAGGGTTTATCATATTTTAGTCCTTATTATTTTAATTGTATCATTTTACTCCCTACAGTGTTGAATGTATTTTTATATGATCCTTTAAACAAATAACATCTAAATTATTAATGATTTTTTATCATAAATTTATCACGCGATACACAATATAGGCAAAAAATAGTTTTGGTAGTTCTTGATTAAAATTTGGATAACTTTTGACAAACAATGTGTAATATGAATAGTTCATGATCAAAATTATGTAATTTGCATTGCTCTTTAACCAAATTTTTGATAAAAATTTGATTAAAAGTTATTTAAATTATTTTTTTCTCGTATTTAAATATTATGTGTCAAGTTTATAATAAAAAAATTATTAACAATCTAGACACTATTTACTTGAAGGTCTACTTATAAATAAATTCAATATTTTAGAGACAATTGATATAATTAAAATATTGAAAATCAAAATAATATAAATCCCATACTTTAGAGATTTCCATTGTAATGAACCCTTTATTTTTTTTCTTTTTCACCTTATCACTTAAGAATAAGGTAGATTAAAAAATAACACTAAATTAATGAATATTAAAAATAATTTTATGCAAACCATCTCGAAAAAATAGTGGGAAGTTGATGGTAGTTACAAAATGCACCAAAGGTCCCGTATGTCTAGGCACTCGGTGGACTCCAAGGCCTAAATGTGGGTAAACCTTTAACCAGCCAAAGCAGTAAAAGTCTTATAATGGGCAAAAATCTCTTAGAGACGGGTTTAAGAACTTGAACTTGGGAGTACTCCTCGTTGAGGGAGGTTGACATGAGATTAATGTTAGACTCGGACACGAGTAAACCTTTGGATGACCAAAACACTAAAAGTTCTATTGTAGGCAAAAATATTTTGGCGACAAATTCAAGAATCTGTATTTAAGAATGTTCCTTGTTTATGGAGGTGACACAAGATTTTAGGTGAGACCCTTGACATGACGCCATATAGTTTTGATGACATTTCGTTCAAAAACTTAACATAATAGTTTAATTGCTAAAATTTTAGAATTTAGGGGCTTAATTGACATAAAAATTAGTTCAAAAATNATCTGACTCTACCTGGATATCTGTTGGTTCTGGTGACTCAAACTCCCCTTTAACAACTTACAATCTTGCTTCAAACCAGGGATTGGTCCGCAGGGCAGTTGAAGGTCTTTCGTCGATTGTACCTTGTAGACCATTTTTGGATTTTTATTCTGATTACCGTTTGATTGACTTTAAGAGTGGCTGGTTTTGTCTTCTCATATGTGGGATGGTCATGGATTACTTCTCGGAGGTGGATCCACATCCACATGCTTTGGTTAGTGTTTTTCGCCTTGTCAAAAAGCACATGGATGAGGTCTATTTACATGAAGTAAAGCCCTGGGTGTCTCACAGGAAGTTAGACCCAAAAGCAATTAAGGCCGCAGGCCTGCCCATGCCCTATTTACACGATTTCTATGATATGTTCTCGGTTGACATGAGGGTTGGATCAGCAAAAGACCATTTTGATCCTTAAAAACGCATTGGAGAAGTTCAAGTATTTGATGCTGAGGACCTGCATGGCTCTCTATTTGCTGTTGGGAATGACAAATTCACCAAGATGCCTTATTTAATTGCTGCCTTCCTTGTGTATGGTGTGTTATTCCCCTCTGGTAATCTCTTTTTGTGTTGCTCCACCTTATTGCCATAATATTGTTCTATCCGAATGTTATTCAAGTGTTCCATCTTATTGATGTTTGTGTGCTTATTCTATTGCATTCGGCTGAGCTTATAAGAAGTGATGGTGGTTGGCGGTATGATTTCTTTCCTAAACCATACCTCCACCAAATAGTGAAGGTGTGCACATTTCGATTTCAAAATCATTCAAGTGTAGGCTATTAATAATTTCAAGTACGTTTAATATCACAGATACTTTATTAATGTGTGAATTTAGTCGATTGTAACGACAGTGGGCCGTTATGTATGTGAAGTAGACGTGGTGTTAAAAGAGGTGATAACAACTTTGAAAACTATTATAACCAATGTTTTGAGAAGCACCCCTAGATGCAAAGTGAGGTGAGGCAAGTTCGCCACGAGGACACAAGGTGCTTGAGGCATAAGAAGTGTTTGTGAGTGTGTGTTTTTTTTTAAATTTAAATCATGTTATGTATTTGAGCCATTGGATGTGTTTGTTTGGATTCTTGAACTCCATTGCTTAATCCATATAATCATGTATTTGATAAGAGTTGGATCCTTGAGTTGTTTGGTTGCTATGTTGCTCCTGAGTGTTGGCTCGTAATTGTGTAACCAGTAAATTTGTTAATTTCTTATTTGATTCTACTGGAACATATGTGTCAATCAAAAGTAATGAAAAGATCAAGCGTAGATCTTGGGTGCTTAGTGATTTTTGGAATGCCTATCTTATTTTAAATATCCTTATCCTTCTTTAGTGTGACTTGAAATTCTTATGAGTTATGCCATTACTCATGTTAAAAAAATTCTTATTGCTCGAATAATGTCTTGTTATTTGCAATGTTTGCTTCATGTCAATGAAGCCCGAGCCTTTATGTCGTTCCTCGTTCCCCAAAAAACCTTAGTGCCTTCGTTCAACTTGCACCTTAATTAGTATTGGTTCCTTCTGTTATTTCTGAATTTAGTATGTTTTGAATTTCTCAGCACACTTGATAAAACCTACAAAACCTTGACCATAGTTATTTTTTTGGCAATAGAATTTGGGCAGACCAATCTGGGGATCCATGGAAAGTTACTTACCCGTAAACTACATTGCATATGAAAATTAACTTAGTAATTGTTAAATAAGTATGGATGAATGACCCATACCCATTAATAAATAGTGGAATCCCACTTGAATCCATGATTGGTGTGGTGTGTCATTTAACATTGAGTGAAATTAAGTGAAAGTCTATTAGAGATGATCTCAATCGTTACTGTATGATATACATGCTCTTGTATAATTTATCTCCTCGTCACCACGGCCATGGTGTCTCTTAACTTCTTCATGCAGCATTTGTTTCCACATCGNGAAGTGAAGTGGGCATGGCCGAACACTTTGGTAGTAGTGCAGCAAGCAATCAAGACCTATAGAAAATTTTGTTTATTGTTTCTCTGATTTAATTTGTATCGATAGTTGTTTATATCGTACTATATGCGATACGATACGTTTTGAAGCATACAATACATATTGTTTAATTATATTGGTTTGTGTCGTATCGTGTGATACACGATATGATATGCTTGACACAAGACAATACGTACAAGTTGTCCGATAGGAGGCGAAATAGATAAAAATATTTCTTTGAATTTTAACTAGAAAACGACGTATTTTCACTTAAAGTCTTCTTTTTTATTCCTTCTATCGCGGGAGCAAATACTTTGTTTAAATCCACTTCTGAAAAAACATTTGTGAATGTTATACCAGCTGTTAATAGAATGTACTTGGGTTTTGGGCAAGACATTATCAATTTTGAAATTTTCATTGTTCCGGACTCTCTAATCAGGAGAAACCTAGTGAACATTGTGATGCTTGTTTGGGTTTGTTTCTCTGTGAATGTAAAAAATAGAGGTCGGAGGTAACTAGCGAATTCAGAATGAGAGCATGTGTATTCTGTCATTTTTTTTAATATTTTTATTTATTTTTGGGTTAATTGCACTGGAGGCCCTTAAAGTATAGGATTTATCATATTTTAGTCCTTATTATTTTAATTGTATCATTTTACTCCCTACAGTGTTGAATGTATTTTTATATGATCTTTCAAGCAAATAACATCTAAATTATTAATGATTTTTTATCATAAATTTATCACGCGATACACAATATAGGCAAAAAATAGTTTTGGTAGTTCTTGATTAAAATTTGGATAACTTTTGACAAACAATGTGTAATATGAATAGTTCATGATCAAAATTTGAATAGTTCATGATCAAAATTATGTAATTTGCCTTGCTCTTTAACCAAATTTTTGATAAAAATTTGATCAAAAGTTTTCTAAATTATTTTTTTCTCGTATTTAAATATTATGTATCAAGTTTATAATAAAAAAATTATTAACAATCTAGACACTATTTACTTGAAGGTCTACTTATAAATAAATTCAATATTTTAGAGACAAGTGATATAATTGAAATATTGAAAACCAAAATAATATAAATCCCATACTTTAGAGATTTCCATTGTAATGAACCCTTTATTTTTTTTTCTTTTTCACCTTATCACTTAAGAATAAGGTAGATTAAAAAATAACACTAAATTAATGAATATTAAAAATAATTTTATGCAAACCATCTCGAAAAAATAGTGGGAAGTTGATGGTAGTTACAAAATGCACCAAAGGTCCCGTATGTCTAGGCACTCGGTGGGCTCCAAGGCCTAAATGTGGGTAAACCTTTGACCAGCCAAAGCAGTAAAAGTCTTATAATAGGCAAAAATCACTTAGGGGCGGGTTTAAGAACTTGAACTTGGGAGTACTCCTCGTTGAGGGAGGTTGACATGAGATTAATGTTATACCTCGGACACGAGTAAACCTTTGGATGACCAAAACACTAAAAGTCCTATTGTAGGCAAAAAAATTTTGGCGACAAATTCAAGAATCTGTATTTAAGAATGCTCATTGTTTATGGAGGTGACACAAGATTTTAGGTGAGACCCTTGACATGACGCCATATAGTTTTGATGATATTTCGTTCAAAAACTTAACATAATAGTTTAATTGCTAAAGTTTTAGAATTTAGGGGCTTAATTGACATAAAAATTAGTTCAAAAACTCAATTGACATAAAATCTTAATTCAGGGGCTAAATAATTCAAAACTATCATAGCTACAGGGTTATTTGTGTAATTTACTCATTCCCCAAGTTAGTCGTACGCATCACACTGGTAACAGAATTGAAATGAAACCTGCTGCGCCTTAAACACCGCTGCTCGTAATTGTGCCCCGGTTCTCTCTTTCTCGATCGATACTCATGCCCCCAATAGTTCCGGTGATTGAGCAAAATTTCACAGGGATATGAATATCAGTGCTGTTGCGGATATGAGTTCAGGCATGCCGACGCAGTCGTCGGATCCACCATTGAAGAAATCCAAGATTGAAACCCACACTGCCAAAGCATACTTGCTTTACACTTGTCGTCATTCTTATGGATATAAGTTGTATGCCCTAGATCCTCGTGCTCTTGGTAATTGGAATGGTAATCCTGAGGAGAAGATAGAAACTTTACAACCTGTTCTCGATTTGCCTGGCCTCAAGTATCCGATGAGAATGGATGCTTTTGCGGTGGGATCTACGTTGTATATGATTGGGGGGAAAATTCCACTTGAAAACAAGGATATGGATAAGCCATTTTTGCGTTCTCGCCTGTCTCCAAGTGTTTATATGTGCGATACCACCGCCTTACCCTTAAAAGTGGTGGAGGGACCTCACATGAAAGGGGGGAAAGCTGTGCCATTTGTGATTCCTGTTGATAACCTGATTTATGTCATTTCTGACGTGCCTCCAAGATGGACAACCTTTTATGCTGACGGGGATGAAACTGTATTATTTGAGGTTTTCGACCCAAATGAGGGAAGCTGGTCCTCCTTGCCACGCCCTCCATTCTATCCCCGCCCTGATCACTGTGACCTGGAGCCAGGTGTATTTTTTTTGATTTTAGTACTTGCAGAATTGTTAACTATGCGGTTGTTGACTCCAGGATCTTTTTTTGCATCCATAATAAAACCCGCATGTACGCATTCCATGTAGATGATCACAAATGGGAGACTTTTGACCTCCTTCCAAGAGAAAACCTTTTTCCCTTCGATGGTCTTGCCATTTCGATATCTGACTCTACCTGGATATCTGTTGGTTCTGGTGACTCAAACTCCCCTTTAACAACTTACAATCTTGCTTCAAACCAGGGATTGGTCCGCAGGGCAGTTGAAGGTCTTTCGTCGATTGTACCTTGTAGACCATTTTTGGATTTTTATTCTGATTACCGTTTGATTGACTTTAAGAGTGGCTGGTTTTGTCTTCTCATATGTGGGATGGTCATGGATTACTTCTCGGAGGTGGATCCACATCCACATGCTTTGGTTAGTGTTTTTCGCCTTGTCAAAAAGCACATGGATGAGGTCTATTTACATGAAGTAAAGCCCTGGGTGTCTCACAGGAAGTTAGACCCAAAAGCAATTAAGGCCGCAGGCCTGCCCATGCCCTATTTACACGATTTCTATGATGTGTTCTCGGTTGACATGAGGGTTGGATCAGCAAAAGACCATTTTGATCCTTAAAAACGCATTGGAGAAGTTCAAGTATTTGATGCTGAGGACCTGCATGGCTCTCTATTTGCTGTTGGGAATGACAAATTCACCAAGATGCCTTATTTAATTGCTGCCTTCCTTGTGTATGGTGTGTTATTCCCCTCTGGTAATCTCTTTTTGTGTTGCTCCACCTTATTGCCATAATATTGTTCTATCCGAATGTTATTCAAGTGTTCCATCTTATTGATGTTTGTGTGCTTATTCTATTGCATTCGGCTGAGCTTATAAGAAGTGATGGTGGTTGGCGGTATGATTTCTTTCCTAAACCATACCTCCACCAAATAGTGAAGGTGTGCACATTTCGATTTCAAAATCATTCAAGTGTAGGCTATTAATAATTTCAAGTACGTTTAATATCACAGATACTTTATTAATGTGTGAATTTAGTCGATTGTAACGACAGTGGGCCGTTATGTATGTGAAGTAGACGTGGTGTTAAAAGAGGTGATAACAACTTTGAAAACTATTATAACCAATGTTTTGAGAAGCACCCCTAGATGCAAAGTGAGGTGAGGCAAGTTCGCCACGAGGACACAAGGTGCTTGAGGCATAAGAAGTGTTTGTGAGTGTGTGTTTTTTTTTAAATTTAAATCATGTTATGTATTTGAGCCATTGGATGTGTTTGTTTGGATTCTTGAACTCCATTGCTTAATCCATATAATCATGTATTTGATAAGAGTTGGATCCTTGAGTTGTTTGGTTGCTATGTTGCTCCTGAGTGTTGGCTCGTAATTGTGTAACCAGTTAATTTGTTAATTTCTTATTGATTCANTGAGTTGTTTGGTTGCTATGTTGCTCCTGAGTGTTGGCTCGTAATTGTGTAACCAGTAAATTTGTTAATTTCTTATTTGATTCTNATTTGATAAGAGTTGGATCCTTGAGTTGTTTGGTTGCTATGTTGCTCCTGAGTGTTGGCTCGTAATTGTGTAACCAGTTAATTTGTTAATTTCTTATTGATTCAACTGGAACATATGTGTCAATCAAAAGTAATGAAAAGATCAAGCGTAGATCTTGGGTGCTTAGTGATTTTTGGAATGCCTATCTTAATTTAAATATCCTTATCCTTCTTTAGTGTGACTTGAAATTCTTATGAGTTATGCCATTACTCATGTTAAAAAAATTCTTATTGCTCGAATAATGTCTTGTTATTTGCAATGTTTGCTTCATGTCAATGAAGCCCGAGCCTTTATGTCGTTCCTCGTTCCCCAAAAAACCTTAGTGCCTTCGTTCAACTTGCACCTTAATTAGTATTGGTTCCTTCTGTTATTTCTGAATTTAGTATGTTTTGAATTTCTCAGCACACTTGATAAAACCTACAAAACCTTGACCATAGTTATTTTTTTGGCAATAGAATTTGGGCAGACCAATCTGGGGATCCATGGAAAGTTACTTACCCGTAAACTACATTGCATATGAAAATTAACTTAGTAATTGTTAAATAAGTATGGATGAATGACCCATACCCATTAATAAATAGTGGAATCCCACTTGAATCCATGATTGGTGTGGTGTGTCATTTAACATTGAGTGAAATTAAGTGAAAGTCTATTAGAGATGATCTCAATCGTTACTGTATGATATACATGCTCTTGTATAATTTATCTCCTCGTCACCACGGCCATGGTGTCTCTTAACTTCTTCATGCAGCATTTGTTTCCACATCGGCTCCTTTTTTTATCGGTTCTTTTACTATGAGTCCAATGGGTCAATTGTATATTCACTAACATCTATTTTCGTGTTGGGTGGTGTGGAGCGGTTTATTGATTCTCATACCGGCACTTTACCAACAGTATGCGCATGTTCCCATCAAACTACATCACCTAATGTCACTTCTTACTTTTCTTATTACTTAAACTCTCTCTCTCTCTCTCTCGATGATATTCTGAAGTAAAGTGCATTTGGTGTAGAGAGGATGGCTAATTTGCTGGTGATCATAGTTGATGGACTGTGGTTCTGTTTTGAGTTGCTGGGATTTGCAAGAGATGCGGTTTTCCACCATTTTGTCGGTACAAGTTCTTGTTTTGCAATGAACTTGTCTTGCGCAATACTGTACTTTTCAATTTATTTTCCAAGTGCATTAGTTTTTATAAAAGTGTGAGTAGTTTATTCAAGCGTATTATATAAACACAATTTGTGTTGGTTAATAAAGCCATCAACGCCTTTTTACCCACAATTCTAGTACTTTTTCCCACATATTTGGTAGTAATAAAAACTACTACTTTGAATTAGAAAAAAATCTTAAACTCGGCTCTAAGTTTTCGAGATTGTTCATTATTGCTTGCTTCGTTTGACATGAACATGATTGAGCACCAATATCTTGGTGATAGAAACTTGAAAGAAAAGTTAAAAACTTAATCCGATTACTAGTATGAGAAAGTGATGGAAAACTCGAAAGTTATAGAATTAGAATTTTAAAAACTTTAAACTCAGATTAATATTAAGAAAAAGACATCCTCAATCTGATCCTAATTTAAGAGTTCAGTCTTTGAAAATACATTACTACCTATCTTTAATTTGTTGAAATAATGCTACTAGGATGGAGTTGGTGGAGTTCATTGGCGTCCGACATTATTGAGGTAAGTGCATATACAATATAAATGCTCAAATGAATGCATCTTAATATGATTTTATGTGTGTGTGTGCGCACNATTGTATATTCACTAACATCTATTTTCGTGTTGGGTGGTGTGGAGCGGTTTATTGATTCTCATACCGGCACTTTACCAACAGTATGCGCATGTTCCCATCAAACTACATCACCTAATGTCACTTCTTACTTTTCTTATTACTTAAACTCTCTCTCTCTCTCTCTCGATGATATTCTGAAGTAAAGTGCATTTGGTGTAGAGAGGATGGCTAATTTGCTGGTGATCATAGTTGATGGACTGTGGTTCTGTTTTGAGTTGCTGGGATTTGCAAGAGATGCGGTTTTCCACCATTTTGTCGGTACAAGTTCTTGTTTTGCAATGAACTTGTCTTGCGCAATACTGTACTTTTCAATTTATTTTCCAAGTGCATTAGTTTTTATAAAAGTGTGAGTAGTTTATTCAAGCGTATTATATAAACACAATTTGTGTTGGTTAATAAAGCCATCAACGCCTTTTTACCCACAATTCTAGTACTTTTACCCACATATTTGGTAGTAATAAAAACTACTACTTTGAATTAGAAAAAAATCTTAGACTCGGCCNCAATTCTAGTACTTTTTCCCACATATTTGGTAGTAATAAAAACTACTACTTTGAATTAGAAAAAAATCTTAAACTCGGCTCTAAGTTTTCGAGATTGTTCATTATTGCTTGCTTCGTTTGACATGAACATGATTGAGCACCAATATCTTGGTGATAGAAACTTGAAAGAAAAGTTAAAAACTTAATCCGATTACCAGTATGAGAAAGTGATGGAAAACTCGAAAGTTATAGAATTAGAATTTTAAAAACTTTAAACTCAGATTAATATTAAGAAAAAGACATCCTCAATCTGATCCTAATTTAAGAGTTCAGTCTTTGAAAATACATTACTACCTATCTTTAATTTGTTGAAATAATGCTGCTAGGATGGAGTTGGTGGAGTTCATTGGCGTCCGACATTATTGAGGTAAGTGCATATACAATATAAATGCTCAAATGAATGCATCTTAATATGATTTTATGTGTGTGTGTGCGCACGTGTGTATTTTTGTTTGTGTGTGTGCGTGTGCGAGAGTTAAATAGTTGACAGTATAATAAAAAATGGTATTTTGCAGGTGTTCATAGGTAGAAAAACATTTTTATAATTAAATTAAAGAACATTGAATAGTTTATTGGGTAGGTAGTAGAATATTGTTAGTAAGTAAAACATTGTGTTTGAATGTTGTTACAAGTACAAATGAATCAGAAGTGTTCTTGAATTGGGAGGACCTCTAATGGTTGGCAAAATGTAGTTTTGGTCATTCAACGGAAACAAGTCCTGCTCAAACTAGGGGACTTGGCAACCTTCTTTCCTGTACCATTCGTCTCCATTACAGTAAAGCTAGAATCCTATGGGCATCTTTGGGCTAAATTAGTCCAATAATAATTTAATACAATACTTCGATCATCTTATAGAGTCGGGCTAGAAAACATACTCTAATACCTACTTGATACTATATTATCGATCTTGATTGGTACAAAATCAATCTTGATTACTATCAGGACCGAAACTAAACTAATCAGGCTACTTGTTATATAGTTTTGGATGGAATTGGATGCAAGGGTGCTTTTGTCTTTCTCAATTCGATATCACGCATCTGTTATACAATACAAACATATGATTGGTATTAAAACAATAAACCCACGTCTTATCCCGACCTTGAACCAACAACTGCATAAAAGAGGTGTAGGTTAAATTAATAAATCAATTATCATTGCTGGTATGAACTGGAGTGGAATCAATTGTCCAATCCCATCTCATGTTGTTAACCTTGTTGGGAAGAATCTATTACTCTACCGTTTCCATTGAATCAAGAACAAAAATCATTAAAAAAAAGAAACCCTCATGCTGAGACCTTGAGACGTAATGTTTGCTGGGATTTCTCCGTTGACTTCACCTCAAAGCTTTAAGCCAAGGATGAACCCAACACATCCCTGTGAGTGATGTTCACTTCATAATCTCCATGAAAGAGTGAAGTCTCTAAACAACCATGAAAGAGTGAAGTCCCTGCTCAATCCTTGTGACTTAATTGCCTGATGATCATGTCTACGACGTCTCCAGTTGGCAAGTTTTTGAAATTGTTCTCAGTCAAGAATAATCGGTAACATCCTGTTGGAAAACACGACGCTTAGATCACAATTCCATTCAATGCCGGATGTGCGTGTGCCTCCCTTATAATCAGGTCCAAGTACATTGCTTGAGCACATAATAAACACAAAATGATATCAGCTTTTATGATTTCTTTATGTTAATGTTATCATGGGTGTAAATTTGCCTTCAAATAATCTCAACAGTCACCACTCACTAGTCTAGACATAGTCTCCAACTGGTGTTGGACAGGGTTTTGTGAATGAAATTCAATTTTATGACGCCCTCACCCCTTGGGGGTTGTTACTAGTCTTTCGAGTTTTGGTATGCTTAATTAGTCTTGACCCGAGTTGACTACCACAGGTTGGAGCTTGGCTCAAGCTCAGTTGTCAACCTTCGATTTTTCCTGAGCTCCTTTTTGTCCTAGAAGCTGGAGTTGGTAATTAGGCTCCAATGAATTCAAAATACACTCATCCAATGAGGTTCAAGCCAATAATTTCTTAACAATTGCTTTATCATCAGATTAAGGTGTTACATAATTATTTATTTACCATAGTAAATACCAGTATATTATATTATGAGCAAATCTGGCTTCAGCTCAGGTTGAATATTAAATGATCTTAAAACTTTGACCATGTTAAGTCATGAATGAACGAGTCAAACCGAGCCAAATCTTGAATGCAAAATTAGACACCGAGTGGAAGACCAAAAACTATAGCATATGATAACATATGACTTGGCCTTTTTAAGCTTTTATCTGATGTAGCATTGTTGGGTGAAACATATTCAAATTAAACCCTGCAACACTAGAGGCTAAAAATTTACCTGGTTGGGGCTGCTTGCAACATCCAGTTCTGTGAGCCAAATGGGAGATCTTGCAGTAGCAAGCTGATCAATTGCAGCTCTCATGTAGGGAAGATTTGGAGTCCTAATATGTCCCTGGAGGCTGATTCCCAAAACGCCATTATAACCGTTTGATTTGATCTCTCTAATCTTTTCAAGATACTTAGTTGGTGTTGATGCTCCGTCATTCATATATTCAATGATGTCTGTCTAGATGTTGAGCCTCATGGTAGAAAACAGCTGAGGCATTCCTTCCAAGTACACTTTCCAATGAATAACCTGACCTGAGTACTGTGTCATGATCGAGTTGATCCTTCTTCCAGCAGATGACCAAGGTTTTCTTGGGGAAAGCAATTTGACCCACTGATTTTGGTACCAAGGATTAGTTTTGCTCATAGCGCAACCAAATGGAAAATAACCAGTCTTGAACATCAACAGCCTGGAGATTCACCTTGTTTTTTCGTGCCTCCAATCCACAATGGAGTTTCTGTCATATGAAATTAGATGTAGGCATTGATAATCATAGTGAAAATAATATGGAAGTCAGTCGAGTTGAATTTGTCAAGTTTGAGTATGCTTTAATTTAGCTTTGTAGATTCTTGATCAAGGTTGACTTGCTAGAAGCTTGTAAGCATTCGAGCTAAGACTTGAGATCAAGATCAATTTTCCAATAAGAATTTCTGGGATGAAACTCTAAAACTTAATAATGAATTTTAAAATAAATCATCTCCCAACAGCAATCATCCAAGTATAATCTCCCACAAAATTAAATACTAAAAGTTAAACTGAATCAATTAAAGAGTATAAGGAGAGAAGTGTGCATGATCTGTCACTATTTAAAAACAAATTTAGGGTGGTTCATCTTTCTAATAGAGTTTCTTTGATAATACAATTAGAATTATTAATAGACAATCACCTGTTCGAGCATAGCCAAACCATAAATTGTCCGAATTCAACTCATTTATAAAATAATTTTAAAAATCTAGCAAATAGTCAGTCAACAAATGGAACGAGCCTCGATTAGCAAAAAACTAGTCGAGTCCAAGTCAATCTCTAGCCGCTCAGATCGTTTTTTTTTTTTCCTGACAATATTTGGAATATGGGATTAAATTTCCATTTTTCGTGGTGAAGTGCCAACCATATGATGTGAAAAAAAATATATATATTTTACCTTCCCAATGCTTTGATCTTGATGAGATTTCCACTCTTCTTTGCAAAATGATGGAAATGCTATCTGCTAGTATGTCAACAGATGAGTGACAGGACTCAGTTTGAGAGCTTTTCTGTGAGCAAGAGTGTTTACAGAAGAGGCTTCCGTCACCGCTTACCATCTTTCTTCCTTGAGGCCCTGCTTGTAGTTGTAGCTCCATAGCTGTTCACTACGGCACACGCAAAAAGAGCTCCACTGAAGTGACTTTTCAGTCTAACTCGAGTTCACCANGCTCCATAGCTGTTCACTACGGCACACGCAAAAAGAGCTCCACTGAAGTGACTTTTCGGTTTTACTCGAGTTCACTGAGGGAGATATCTTTTTATCTCATTTATTGTACGAAAATCATCCTGCATAATTTATTTTTTCAAAGAATAGTGGAATTTCAACCAAAGAGGCATAGAATCATAGAGATAAGAAAGACGCATATCAACTTAAGTTAGTAAATAGTGTCTCCACCATTAAACCATGAAAGAGAAACAATGTACCTCAAAATAGAGTCGGACAGGACCTGAAGTATTCACAGCTAGGCCGACTTTGAGCATGGACCAGCAACCAGATTGAGCAGTAACAGTACCAGCAAGTATGAAGTGCATAGGTGTTTTGAACATGGCCGCTACTTCAGCCTTCCCTTGGTGCACCTGTAACCAAGCTGCAATGAACACGACGACACAAACATCAAAAAATTATCTGAAAATTAACTAATTCTGAGCATGTTGGTAACACATGAAAGTTTAAGTCAAATATAGCCTATGAGCCAACTATGTCACTAGCAAATTAATCTCCTTTTGTTTTTGGACAAATATCCTTTTTTTTTTTGTCGACTGTCTACAGCAAGCTGTGGGAGAGTAACTTTCAGACAGCTTACACCCGGTGAGACTAGGTTGATTTTCAGACTCAAACCTGTGACATAAGACTTGTGAGTGGATAAGGTAAAATAAAATGTTCTTCATTATAACCCATTTCTATAGTGTACCACTAATCATAATTCTGAGTAATTAAGAAAAATAGATACCAGAAAAAGTTTAGAGCATTTCGTTCGCTNTTGATTTTCAGACTCAAACCTGTGACATAAGACTTGTGAGTGGATAAGGTAAAATAAAATGTTCTTCATTATAACCCATTTCTGTAGTGTACCACTAATCATAATTCTGAGTAATTAAGAAAAATAGATACCACAAAAAGTTTAGAGCATTTCGTTCGCTAAATAAAACCCCAGTGAAAAACTATCATACGACTGTCATCTCTCAATTGCAACATGTACTTGTTTTNATTAAGAAAAATAGATACCACAAAAAGTTTAGAGCATTTCGTTCGCTAAATAAAACCCCAGTGAAAAACTATCATACGACTGTCATCTCTCAATTGCAACATGTACTTGTTTTCGCCTTCAGTTATCCTTGCCACTTTTACACTTCCAAAGGTAGTCCAACCCTCCGTCCCGAAATTTAGTCCGTGGTATAATCTACCATTTACAATAAAAGTTGTTTTACCTTCTCAAATAAAAACAATAAATAGACATGTTAAAACAGCTAAAAGAGATAGGAGTGAAATTATAAGCGAACCGTGTTTGGAATTTATACCCATGTAAAAGCATAATCCTATACTTTCTTTTCCATTCGACATGAAATTTTCACTCAACAAAGAAATCTCTCGCTTATGCAAAACATCAAAGGATGTATAGAGAAAGACAAACTAGAGGAAAGAAGATAAAATAAAACAACAGCAGTAGAAGCACATCATTTCTCGCTCCAGCCTCCATGTTTATAAGCTCACTGCTTCAAAACATGAAACTCACTTGAATCAGCGTGCTAATAAAAATGTATAGGGAGTATTAGACTAGNCCATGTTTATAAGCTCACTGCTTCAAAACATGAAACTCACTTGAATCAGCGTGCTAATAAAAATGTATAGGGAGTATTAGACTAGTAACCTTTGAGGTTTGTCATTTAATCACTCAGATCCCCTGATATTTAAAATATTATACATAGACCTCCTGAAATTTATACGAGTGTAGCACTTAGACCCTAACACAAATATATCATTTAATAAATTATATTTAGACCCCCTAAAGTTTATAAATATATAATACTTAGACCTCTTAAGTTTAAAATATTATACTTAGATAAAAATACTCCAATCAAAAATAAAATATCAAATATTTTATATTTTACAACAAAAATTCATGTTCTATTGTATCAAAAATAAAAATTTAATTTTTTTCTTAAAAAATCATAATTAGTTTACAATTATATTGTCTATTAGAGCAACTCCAAGGAGAGTTGTCAAAAATGGGGTGCCAAATACCATTTTGCATCCTTGAACAGTATTTTGGCACGCTTGAACAGTGTTTCTGCTCCAATGGTAGGTGTCAAAATANAAATGGGGTGCCAAATACCATTTTGCATCCTTGAACAGTATTTTGGCACGCTTGAACAGTGTTTCTGCTCCAATGGTAGGTGTCAAAATAGGATGTCATTTTAATATTTTAATATTTTTTATTAAAAAATATAATTAAACTTAACGGTTATATTTTAACGAGTATAGTTTTCACAATGATCACAATTTAACGGATATATTTTTATAATAAAAATTTCAAATTTCAAATTTCAAATTTCAAATTTTGGCGGACAAAATTTCAAATTTCAAATTTTGTCCGNTCGTAATTTAACAGATACATTTTTATAGTAAAAATTTTAAATTTCAAATTTTGTCCGTCAAAATTCAAATTTTAAATTTCAACCGTTGAAATTTAAATTTGAAAATTTAACCGTTAAAATAAAAAATTTAAAAAATATAATTCATCTATAAATATGATTATTTTTTTCATGTTTTCATCCATCTATCTTACATTCTCTCTATAAATTCAATATCCCCTTTCTCTTTGACTATTTATCCTTTCATATTTTTCTTTNTTTTCATCCATCTATCTTACATTCTCTCTATAAATTCAATATCCCCTTTCTCTTTGACTATTTATCCTTTCATATTTTTCTTTATCAAGTTACATGAATCGTTATCCTAATATTTTAGGAGAGATCCTCAATATTGAAGAAGAAGATAATGATGACTTGGATATGTTATATGCTGCAACTAGAAAGTTAGAAGGGTCTAGTCAAAGACAGATAAAAAGGTATCGTGGTTCCGTTTCAGGCCACAGAATAGTTAATCTTGGTAGAGTTGAAGATAACGAAAGACTTTTATCGTGACTATTTTACTACCCCTTGTGTATATGAATGTTTTTTCCGAATGAGTCGTCCTCTTTTTCTCCGAATTGTAATGAGGTTGAACAACACGATTCATACTTCATNTATCGTGACTATTTTGCTACCCCTTGTGTATATGAAAGTTTTTTTCGAAGGAGGTTCTGAATGAGTTGTCCTCTTTTTCTCTGAATTGTAAATGAGGTTGAACAACACGATCCATACTTCATTCAAACAACAGATGCCGTTGGAGTTCTCGGTTTGTCATCCCTTCAAAAGATAAAAATTGCTTATAGAATTCTTATTTACGGAAAACCGACAGATTCAGTGGATGAATACATCAGAATTGGAGAAAGTACTGTCATACAAAGTCTGAGAAGGTTTGTGAAAGCTATTATTGCAGTGTTTGGCGACCATTACCTGAGGTCACCAAACAATATCGATATTGCTCGATTGCTACAAATGGGGGAACAACGTGATTTTCCCGGCATATTAGGGAGTATTGATTGTATGCATTGGAAGTGAAAAAATTGTCTTACCGCGTGGCAAGGTATGTATACTAGTCATTGTTATGAACTAACAATCATTTTAGAAGCTGTGGCTTCTCAAGATCTTTGAATATGACATGCATTCTTTGGACTTCCTGGTTCGCTGAATGACATAAATGTTCTAGATAGGTCTCCTATTTTTGCATTATTAGCAAATGGTCATGCTCCTCCAATCAACTATATAATTAAAGACCATGAGTATACAATGAGATATTATCTAGTTGATGGTATTTATCCAAACTAATCGACATTTGTAAAAATAATTCCCTGTCCACAAGGTTTGAAGAAAAAATATTTTGTTAAAGCACAAGAGTCGGGAAGAAAAGATGTAGAGCGTACATTTGGGGTACTTCAAGTCCGTTTTGCAATCGTGCCTGGAGCAGCACGCTTTTGGGATGAAGAAACACTTGCAGATATTATGAAAGTGTGCATAATAGTGCATAATATGGTCATTGAGGATGAATGAGATATTAGTAACAATGACTTTGATAAAAGTGATGCAAATCCGCCTGTAGAAGTGTCGCATGCGTATACATCAGAATTGGAAGACTTCATACAAATCCACTATCAAATCAGGGACAGTGTTACTCATTTTCAACTGCAGTCAGATCTTATCGAATATTTGTGGGAACGACATGACGACTAATAATTTTCTCAATTTCAATGGCCATATTATGTTGTATTTTTAATTTCAATTTCAATTTCATGTTGTACTTTCAATTTCATGTTGTATTTTCAATTTCAATTTCAATTTGATTAATGGCAACATAATAAATAATGACTACAAATTAAAAAATAATAGCAACATAATAAATAATGACTACAAATTAAAAAATAATAGCAACATAATAAATAACGACTAAAAATTAAAGCCCTGCTTTTTCATAATCTCTATCTTCAGGTTATTCCAATATGCTGCAAAAATTGGGTCCATGTCAGTAGTGTCAGTTTCCATGATTTTCATTTCATTCTGCCTTTCAATTTCTTACAGCTGCCTTTCTTTAATTTCTAACTATTTACGATGTTGCTCTAATGTTATCTCCTGTTGAGCATAAATTTTGTTGTGTCACTCAATTTTTTGTCGTTCCACTTCCATTCTTTCATTCCAGTGGTGATGATCTAGTGATGTTTCAACACCGGTTTGCTTCTCTTTGTTTTTAAGTTGTTTCTTCGAAACTTTTCTACCTAATGGCCTATCGAGATTGAGAGTGGATGAGGGTTCAGTGTCATCCCCTAAATATGGAGTTGAATAGCAAGATTCAACATGAGCTGATTCAGCAGGACTACCAGTGTCATGAGTTTTTGCTCTCTTATTGCTGGTAAGATTATCAGTCCATTTTCGCTCTATTTTTAATATATTCCAACAATGCTCGTATTGAAAATGGTTTTTCAATAATCTTAGCAAATATTTCTTTTGCGTCATCAACCTGAAAAACATATAAAATTATTCAGTCAATAGTTCAAATATCAAATCATAATAGTGTCTAAATTAAAATTTTAATCATTAGATTATTTTGCTCAATGTGTCCACTTTGTTGCAGTCTTTCAATTTGACTATAAAAATCGACAAATTTGTCGCATTTTGCATTTATATCAGTCCAACGATTTTTAATAGAAGATTGTGAACGCTCTTTTTGATTGCCTCCATGAAGTACTAAGTATTGCAATATTCTTTGCCAAAAAGCATCACCTTGTTGTTCATTCCCAGTAATTGCATCTTTACTCGTGTTAAGCCACGCTGACATAATTAATTTATCTTCTTCTATAGAGAAGTTCTTTGTCCTTTGCGATTTTCTCACTCTTAGAACGGTTTCATTTTGTATTGACGCCAATACTGTGGGATTGGTCTGCATAGCATCATCATATAAATCGGTGTGGTTCATAAGCAAATCAGTGAAAGAACCGTCAAATTGCGAATTCATCTACAAAAAAAAAAAATATAATCAATTTAAAGAATGAGCATAAAATAATCAATTAAAAAAAATACCCTAAATTAAAACAAATAAATCTGCCATAAATTATAATCAAATTATAAATTATAAATTAAAACAAGAACTTAAAAATTAAAACAACAACGTGGACAGATGTAATTATAAATCATAAATTAAAACAAGAACAGGGGAGCAGATGTAATTATAAATTATAAATTAAAACAAGAACATGAGGACAAATGTAATTATAAATTATAAATTAAAACAAGAATTTGTAAATTAAAACAAGAATAGGGGATATATGTAATTATAAATTACAACTCCTCCCCTTTCCCCTATATAAAACGGGTCATACCCCCTTCTCCAGTCATCTTTTCCCTTCGCCTTACCAGACCAGAGCTCCCCTTCCCCTTCTCTTTCCCCTTCCTCCCCTTCCCCTTAC